TTCATCTACAGATAACACGATCTTGACCCTTGTCACTTTTTTACTTGTCGAGGCGGGGGGGCTCCGCCCCCCAGACCCCCCTTTCTTCAAGACAGAGGTGATCTACCTGCAGAAAACTCGATTTTTCGCCGTTTTTTATGTGTTTTTCGGCTATAAAAACTGAACCAGTTGAGCTAGGATGGTGAAATTTCGCGTGTGCCGAGCCAAGAACATACCTAATAAGCCTGCAAAATCTCAGCCAGATCAGCCGAGCCGTTCAGGAGGAGTAGTGTACACACACACACACACACAGACAGACAGACGGACAGACAGACAGACAGACAAAACTTTTCAACCGCACTGGAGTAACAGGCTTCGCTATCGCTCAGCCAATAATTTAAATGTTTTCGTCCCTTATTAGCATTTGAAACGACTAGCAATGCTAAATCCACTGAAAATCTATCGGCGTGACTTCGTGCCATTGCAGGGGCGTGAATTAAGTGTCACGCCATTAAACGGCATGACAGAAGAGTCACGCCAAAAATCGGTGTGACTGAATAATTCACGCCAATTTTCGGCGTGAATTTCTTGTCATGCCGCTTTTGGGCGTGTCTTGTCCCATAAAACGCGTTGTCATTCACGCCAAATGAGGGCGTGACTCACACGTCACGCCGTTTTTCGGCGTGAATTTCGTGTCACGCCAATTTTTGGCGTGACTTTTTGTCACGCCATAATATGGCCATGTGTCCGACCATTACGTTTCCAGTGTCCTGACAAAGTTTTGCAATATTTACCATACACTCCTATATTTACTTCGGGAATAAATTCATCTCAGTGGTTTAATTTTGGCCACAAAATAATCTTCCTGTGATAAATATTTCTAGGACATGCTAGTTTCACTCCACAGTATCCTTGATATTGACGGCTAGAGGTCTGAAACCTGGTGTCAGAAATTCTGATATTGCGGCTCAGCTGAGACTCTGAATGCTTCGTTTGATAGTTTTGGACTATGTTAACCTTATCACTGCACTTCAAATCCAATCGTAGGACAATTCGACACTAGTAGGCTTAGGCCAGATGTGTCCAACGCTTTCAAGTGCGTCTTCCACTCAGTCTGACGCCTGCGTGCGTTTCTTTACATCCTACGGAAAACTACAATTAGTTTCCTATTGTGGCCCCACGCCACACTTCAGCCTGTCTGATATCTGCTGTGGTCGACACTTGCAAGCGTAGGACAAACTTGTCTCCGCCCGGTGTCGACTTGTCCTACACTTGGATTTACAGTGTAGGGTTCTGTCAGCTGAGTTTTGACTAGTGTTGGGAAGGTGGAAAAAGACGTAAAAAAGTGTGTTTTTATTTTTTTCGGCGTTTTTTAGTATAGTAAAATTTTTCTAATTTTGGGTATTTTATCTCGGTATTCTCTTGTACGTATCATAAGGAAAGGATGAAATCGGATATTGAGATATAAACTAATACATCATTTTTCCAACACTAGTTTGACAGTAAGAAACCTTACTTCAATGAAGGAACAGACTTCGAGGTTTATACCAGTAGAAGGCACGAAACGTCAGTATCGAGTCCGAATTTGGAGGTACTGTCTGGATGCATTTTGATAGTCCGTGGGAAAAGTTTGAAGATTGAATATTAATGTTAACCATAACTACCCAACAAACGGCAAGAGCCCCATCTCAAGATTAACAATTTAGCCACTTCAGCCCCCGATTCAATTCTACAAAGTTAGTTCTCCTCATCTTGTTTTACTTCACAGTAATTGTAATGTGATTTCTACAGTGTGAGCCATTTGCAAGATTTTGACGAAAACGTTGAAAAACGATTTCGTTACGTTGCAGGGTACTACTAAAAGATACGCACCAGTTTCAAATTCGATATTCTTCACTCACCCTCTAACTGCGGTGCCGCAACCGCAACGCACACCAACGCTGCCAGGACGAAGTACGGTGCCATGGTGAATATACCAGTGAGCGGACACCCGGCTCACTTTGTTGAGCAATGTCTCAATCCAATATATGCGGACAGATAAGGCCGTTGCGCGATGTAGTTTTCCCCTCAGTGATTTTGAAGCCTTTTTCCTCCCTGACTATCTGTGTAATGATAACGATAAAAAACCACTCGAAGCCTCACTGATTGTAAATTCAGTTACTAGCCAGATAGTATATAAAGCGAAGCTAAAGAGGCCTTCCACGCCTGCGAAACACCACGACCACCGACCTTGTCGACTAGGAAAGGTTACGAAGCGACGCAACAGTCTGGAAGATACGCTATTTGCTTATTTCTATGATCTTTAAGGTTACTGTAAAGTGAAAAAATGTGAAATATCATTTTTCAAAATAATTGTGGCATCATGTTTGTATTTAGGTTTCAGGTTGCTTACTATAAGATGAACTTAAACCCAAAGTTGAGGCACTCAACTCCCATTATTTTCTGAGTTATTGAAGTTTACGTAACAAATTTAGTCGTTTACTAAAAATTCTCCTTGCGATGAACCAAAAGTTGTCGAGACTTGATTTTTGTTTTACAAGTTCTTTATTGATTTGTCTATCTCGTAGCAAAGCCGAATGTCCAAAATTCCAACATGAAACAGGAATTTTTCTCAAAAAACACAAAACACAAAAAAATATCAAAATTTTACCAAATTTAAGTAAAAAATTCAAAACGCATTTTCCAAACAGAAATTACAGCTTATCTATGCATATATTGTCAAATCCGGCTTTGCTAGTCTGTTTGCATGTCCATTGGGCCTTAAAATAAAAAATCACACCCCCGTTAACTTTTTGGTTCATCGCAAGGAGAATTTTTAGTAAACGACTAAAATAACACTAAAACCCTCATAACTTTGGAACTAATGGGAGTTGGGAGTCCAGTCTGTGGCTGTAAAAGTTTTTCATAGTAAGCAACTAAATCACCAAAAACCAAAGCACTGCCAGCTATACTTTGGAAGATAAGTAACCTTAAAAGTTCGTCATGTTCTTTTGTTACATGCCGACACAGTAAAAACTGATTCGCCCTTTCGGTGACCTCATGTAGCCAAAACGAGAAAGTTTCAAGAACAGCGACATCCGGAGTAATCTCGTTTCAGAAAAAACGCTTTGTGCCACGACCGCCTCCCTCCGATCGTCCTTGTATTTAGTGGGTATGTTACCAACCACCGAAAACGTCTTCAACGACTATGCTACAAATTCAATGGTTCGACGTTTTAATGCTACTTTGGATACTACTTCAAAGTAACATTTTAAATATGCATTTTGTTACTCACAATACTTCTTTGCTTGTAGCATGATCCTGGATGGCATGGAACAGTCTCTTCACATTTATGGTCCAAACCAAAAGTATAGACCTAAAACTTAAGACAACCTAATTTTTATGTCTCCCACCGCCGGAGAGGCTGACTGGCCTAAATCTTGCTTCCGAATCACTTTTGATCCACTTGGGCCCTGTCGCGGCCGAGTGAGTTGGCTTGCCTACCTGCACGGCGCATCGCCTGCCGTCGGGCCGGCGAGTCCACCGCCGCCAAGTGCCGGCACATCATTGCGTCGCGCCACGGTCGTCTGCTTTTGTCGCGTATGTCTGAAACTTGGACACCTTCGAAGCGAGGTCCGGGCCGAGCGATGTGATGCTGGTTGGGACTGGTACCCCCACTCAAAGAGGTGCTGGAAGGGGAAGTGAGGGGTAGTTTTTACCGAAAACGACGCTTGTTAGGCACGAAGTAGCCTTAGTATCCCCAGTATTCAGCCGGCGCGAGATACAACTCGTGTGACCCCTTATGCATTTTGAAAATTTTCTGTAGCTTTATAATGAGATTTTGCACACTAGTAGAACTTTGAACGGTGATTCCAATGTTGAAATGTGGGTAAAAAGCTAAAGGCCAGTTGTGAGAAATTTGCTCTTAAAATCACTGTTTTCATGGCGAAACTCGACTCAAGGAGAAAGGAAGAAAGTGGGGGGAGCCGAGCCGGACCCGACCACCAGAACGCCGAGTGAAGAACAAGAGGAAGAAATGGTTTAGGAACCAGTTCCCATAAACGTCTTATTTATAGGTTTTGACTGTTAACTATCATGAAACTCGTCATTTTTCAATTTTAAATAATTTTTAGAACCCAAACGAACCCATAATATGATCAAAGGAGCGAATTTAATGGACTGTTTCCGGCTTTTGTAATTCTTCTTGTTCTTCACTCGGCGCTCTGGCGGAAGTGTCCATAGCTGAGCTCCTTTTCGGCTCTGTACAGCTTACTTCAAAAGATGAAAAAGCACGTTCGAATCATAAATCTCTTTGACTGCAGCTAGAGAAGATCCGACAATAGCATTGACGTTGTTTTCGAACATGTTCATTTGGATTGGCCGCCCAGCCAGTGGCTTTTGATGAGACTGTCCCGCATCAATACTCCAAAGAAGCTCTGGCCCGGAAGAAGAAGAACAAAGACGGAAGTAAGAAATTGCAGTTTCTATGCGGACCCTCATGCACAGCGTATATTTCTCATAGAAACTGCAATTTCTTACTTCCGTTTTTGTTCTTCTTCCGGGCCAGAGCTTCCTTGGAGTACTCTATCCCACACCGCTGTGTTGTTGTCTTGTTGAAAATTTTTGTTACTCTTCGGAGTGAATTGAGCCATTTATCTGCGTATCTGTGCACATGCATCTGGAAATTATCTTTCCTTAATATAGTTTGAGTCACTTTAAGACTCTCAGTTTCTTTTTGACAAAGATGGTCATGTACCTCGGACGACCACTCTCACACTGTAAAAAATATGTTGTGAATTTACGACGGAATATTTTCCGAAGGGTTTTTGGGAATGTCTGTAAATGTTTCTTTCCTACAGGAACTTTTGTAAATCAACGTAGGTTCGTCGTTAATTTATGAAGGTTCTTTGTAAATTTACGAAGAAAAATCGTAAATTTACAAAATCCGTTGTAAATTTACGAAGGGCTTCGTAAACTTACGACGGGCTTCGTTAATCTACGACGGGTCTTCGTAAATCTACGGCGGACCTTCGTAAATAAACGAAGGAAGTGTTGGCAAGTTTTTTGCCGAAGGATCCGTCGTTAATTCCAGACGTATAATTACGAAGGATCTCTATATATTAACGAAGTTTCTTTGTTTATAAACGAAGGTTCCCTGTAAATTTACGAAGGATCTTTGTAGATTTACGAAGGTGCTTCGTAAATTTCCATTGTGATTGGAAAATCAGGAGAGATCTTTCAAAATAATAAGGAAGGTTTTTGTAAATATACGAAGAGCTTCGTAAATTAACGAAGGAACCATTGGCAATTTTTTTGCCGAAGGATCCGTCGTTTATTCCGCATATTAATTTTTACAGTGCACACTAACAGCTTTGGTATAACGATATCTTACAGGGATCAACAACTTTCAGTTCATTAGGGTAAGTGAGTATGGGGCGATTTGTAACAGATTTTGGAATTCTCTATACGAAATTTAGAACATTCTGCATAAAGAATGACGTCTTTAGAAGAGACGTCCACTCCCATGATTCTGCGAGCTAGATCTTCGTCGTATTACGAGCAAAACGCTAAGAATAATGACAGCGCAGCAAAGTTTTAACATATGGTGACGAGTTCTCATTAATTTATGACCAATTCCTTCGTATTACCAACAAATTTGTCCGTTTTGTGATAGATTTGTATCGTTACACTGCAAATCCAAAGGCAATATAGTACCTTTTATAGGCGATACAATTGAGTATCGCCAATATTCGCCTTACGGAAAAGTAATGCCTTCAAAACGGCGATACACAAAAGTATCGCCCAAATTTGGCGATACTTCGGGGTATTGCCACGATTTGGCAATAAACGTTGCACAAATCAAGGTGACAAGTCCTTAGTTTAATGCCGTGGTTTTGGCGATACCCGAAAATATCGCCACATTTTGGCGATACTTCTGTGTATCGCCGTTCTGAAGGCAATACTTCTCCGTAATGCCGTTTGTTGGCGATACTCAATTGCACCGCCAAAAAATGTACTTGAGTATCGCCTTTCCATTTGAAGTGTAAGTACTGAGACTTTCTTGAGTATTATGATTGCTTGGCATTTCTCAATATGAAATCAGGAGTAAAACTAGTAAGAAGTTCAAAGGAATAAACGCCTGAAAGACGTAATGATTAACAGGGTAGGTGTACGCCAGACCGTGTCTTGTCGTCGCGATGCTGCGCAAGTTTCGACAATCCACGCCTGGCGTGTACGCCTACCTTGGCCTGAGGCGCTATAGCCTGCCTTCGGCAGGCTGCTTTCCCAGTCGGACCGTAGGAATAAGCGTGATCCCCCCCTAAAAATTGAATATGGTGATCAAAATTTTCACTAATGGGACTTAATTTTGGGTCGGGGGTCAGAATGGGTACTATTTTCATCAGCGCCCTCCAAAACATAGGAAACGATATGGAACTTGTCTAAAAGTTCAAAGTACCAAATAAGTTGTCTTTTTTCTGCCGTTTTTTAAATGTTAAAAAAAAGGACATACCTAATAACCCTGCAAAATCTCAGCCAGATCGGCCAAGCTGTTCAGGAGTAGTGCACACAGACGCACACACACAGACAGAAAAGTTTTTTAACCCCACTGGAGTAACGGGCTTCGCTACCGCTCAGCCAAAAAGTTTAAAGGAAAACCTTCTTTAGTTGTGCCCCCCCCTCTCTCACACAATGAGGGAAATGTTTTAAGGCCACACGTAAACTTACTGCTGTGACAACCAATCTGTTTGGTCGCTGGGGGTTCAATTTAACGTTCGATGGCCACATTTAGATCGTTTAGTCGCGCCACTTTAATTGTGAGATATACTCTTATGTTGTTGACTGTCTATTTTACTCACTGCCACTAAATCAAATTATGTCACAGTACACTGTAACATAATGCAGTCATGACTGAATGCAATCAGATGTGACGAGTGAATGTTTATTCCTGGCACGTTAACGTAAAACGGTAAAAAAGCTACTCCAAAATGAGTATTCGAACCTTGGGCAGTTGTATTCCGAGTCCGTCGTCCTACCAAAGTGTTGTCGAGGTTGGTAATAGGGTACTTCGGAGGAAATCTAGACCGGAAGTCAGCGACAGAACGGGAGAAACAAAAGAGCGTCGCGAGGCTGTGCTGAGCAGTGGTGGGGTCCGGGATGGACAGAGTGGGGACACAAGCGGATAGGCACCCACAGATCCAAGCCACTGCGGTCCTACCGAGCCCGACGGCCGACCCGCCCGACCCGATCCCGAAGTCCCCTCGCCGAGCGCGGCCCGAAGGTCCCCCGGGGCGTCCCGGGGGTCTCTAGGGGGTATCCCGAGAGGGATAAACCCCGGACCCACGGAGGACGGAGGGCTTGGTCAGTCACTGAAGTAGAGTTGTCGAGGACCCTCCCACTATCCGCCTCCGTGGCTCCGGGGAACCGTCTCTGCCTACGGGCGCTCATGTTCATGGTTCGACTACTGGCTACTCTGACACATTTTTCGGTTTGACCCATTTTGTTTTTGTCATGTCTAAGTAGGTTGGAGAATTCTTTTTAAGAATATTAAGTTTTGATTGGGATCAGGTCGCAAGTGACCTAAAATTGGCGCGACAAGCACAAGATCTGTCGCAAATAGAGTAAGATCTGTCGCGATTAGAAAAAGATCTGTCACGATTAGAATAAGATCTGTTGCGAGCCCGTTAGGTTTGGTTAGGATAGGTTGGACAATTAATATTAAAAATGTTAAGGTAGCCTTCCGTCCCAACCACTATTTCCTTCAGACGAACATGCATTTCCATTTGGAGCAGAATCTATCAGCATCAAAAGGGCTTGAATCTGGTCGCAGTCGCAGGCGTGCTCGTCACGGCACAAGTCCCCTTCGGCTCCGGCTCGGCCGCTCGGCATTCTTCGGCACCGCTCGGCTCCGGCCCGACCGCCGCCAGTAGGACCGCGGCGGCGTGGATCTGTGGGTCTCTATCAAGACGTGTGGGGGCAGCATGCGCGCGCCTCCCTCACCCCCACTCCGCCGATTTCGACCCCCACTACCGCTCAGCGCAGCCGCGCGACGCTCATTTGTTTCTCCCGTTCTGTCGCTGACTTCCGGTCTAGGTATTCTCCGAAGTACCCTATTGTGTTGTAGTCATTAATAACCTTTTTAAACAGTGTTCTTTCCCCTTCCCCGCCAGAGTCAATCTGATCCCAGTCACCACCAGAGAGCACTCAGGCCCGGCCCAGTCTGGCAACCCTGGGCGGACGTTGCAGACTGCTGACGAACGACAACGACTCGCTTCACGCTGCTGAGCGCGCAGTCCAGTGCAGGTCACGCCACTCCATCTCCTCCCTGCTGTCGCAGTACGCGCCCGGTTGGCAGGGGAAACTTTTCCCTGGAAAGTTGCTGCGCGATCGAGTACATCGGGATTGTGACCTGCTGTACGCATTAGCGTGTGAAAGTTCAGTGGTAACTGCGTGGGTGTGCGTGTGTTAGCGACCGGAAGGACCCGCGCGAGGTGCGGGTGAGTACTGATTCAGCATCCCGAACTCTCCGAGAGAGGGGCGGATTTGATTTCATGTCGTCTTGCGCTCAGTGCTAGAAGTCTTCTGGCCCGCAGCCAAGCGCATTCGCCTTACATCATTGTGGCAAAGAGCTACGCACAGTAAAAAGTCTACGAAGAATCGCTTCGCAATACGAAGATAATGAAGGCATTGTAAAATCTACGAAGAAATGCTCTGTATCATGAAGCAAAATCCCTCGTAATACGAAGCATTTCTTCATAATTCAAAGAAATTCTACATCGCCTTCAGTTTCTTCGTTACGAAGCAAATGCTTCGTAAGCTTTTAAGAGTGCGGAAAATTCTGTAGATAGCTTGTGGCAATAGAGTACTCCGAAGAAGCTCTGGCCCGGAAGAAGAACAAAAACGGAAAAAAGAAATTGCAGTTTCTATGAAAAATATACGCTGCAGTTGAGGTCCGCAGCGTATATTTCTCATAGAAACTGGCAACGTCTTACTTCCGTTTTTGCTCTTCTTCCGGGCCAGAGCTTCTTTGGAGTACTCTATTCTCCGTTGCCTCCTCGTCAATATTCTCCCGAGGACCGTACAGTTTTCTCCGTGGGACTACTCCTAGGTCCTACGGAGAAAACTGAAAGATCCCACGGAAAATATTAATAAGAGGGCTACGGAGAATCTTGCAAGAAAAATAAAATCGGAAGAAGTTTCCGTACCTTTTTGCCACAGTGATGGAATCAGTACTTCTACACTCCGAGAGCATTGGTTCGGTGCGAGTTGAAGGCGATCGACTTCATAAGAAGTTTCGTGAATCCTGGACCGGAAGTCAACAGGCCGCGACTTCACTTGGCATTGTCGAAACTGGTATTTCCTACTGTTTCTCTGAACGGAAGTGAGATTAACACAGCGGCAGTATGAAAGACAGTATCTTTCTTCTTACTTTCGGTATGGAAAAGAGTCGCAATACCTCTATACACAGGCCCGTACAGCCCAAACCCTGTACATCCTACCTGTGCAACCTCTATATCAGTGTTTCTTATTGAAACATTGCTAGACCACTGCTTGGTGAAATTCCGACCACTTTTACCGCACATGGTTGATGCATCGTCTGAAATGAAATATTCGCAATCGGGTACGTTGGAGAAAACCTAGACCGGAGGTCAGCGACAGAACGGGAGAAACCAAAGAGCGTCGGGAGGCCGTGCTGAGCGGTGGTGGGGGTTGGAATCGGTAGAGTGGGGGTGAAGGCGGCGCGCGCATGCCACCCCCACTCCGCCGATTCCGGCCGCCACCACCGCTCAGCACGGCCTCCCGACGCTCTTTTGTTTCTCCCGTTCTGTCGCTGACTTCCGGTCTAGGTTCGTTCCTGGAATAAGAGTGTAAGTGTGTACTTGCAGGCATGCCTTTGTAAGTGTGTACTTGCAAGCATGCGTTTGTAAGTGTGTACTTGCAAGCACGCATGTGTAATTGTGTACTTAGACAGTTAGGTTTGTAGTGTATTCCCTATCCACTCCATTTCCGGTGTAGTGCCTCCCATGATGCTTTCTTTGGACTCCTCGGTCAGCGACCTTGCAATGTGGCGACTGGTTAGCAAACCCAATTTATGAGGTAGTAAAAGTGAAGACAAATGTGATTTAATTTGGTCATCTCTTCGGAGAACAAGAGGGAGAACGAATCTGGAAGCCGGCCGTAAAGTGGGTTGGTAGTGAGCACGGGGATAGGATTAACCTATATTGGCCCCTTTTGGTCAATTTTTGGGGAAACACTTAAGCTTTTAGAGTCTATGACAATATCTCTAGTGTTTATTGATTGCCATCCTCAATATTTTGCTGACAGTACGAGTACCCCCTACGAGGGTCTTCTGATGCCAATATGGGGGGGCGTTCCACGTCAAACCATCATGGTCCAAAACGTACTTGCTCAGATCCGGCCCCCAATTTTTTATCTGGTAGTGTACCACCCAAAGACCACTCTCATAATTTTTTTTTTTTTTTAAATCAGAACTTTGGCCACAGTGATTTTTTGAAACTTCAAAAAAAAATATATAATTTTTTTTTTAGTTTTTTTAAAATTGTGTATCTAGGTGCTCAAATGGGTTGAAAACAGTAAAGGGCAACATAAAATAGTGAAAAAAAAAAATTGGGACCCCCAGCCCTTACCAGAAACAAAGTTTACGATAAAAAAAACCACGGTTTCTTGAATTCCCAAAATACGCCGTCTCACTTTTGGACCATATTGGCATCAAAGGACCCCAATGAGGTACTCTAACTGTCACTAAAAAATTAGGGACGGCAATCCATAAACACCAGAGATATTGTCAAACAACTCTAAAAGTTATCGAAGGTTATCGAAGCTTTTCCCCCAAAAATCGTCAAAATGGGACCTATATTGGTTCCGCTGAGGCACTGTGCATTGAAATACTATTCAATTGTCTATCTTAACACCATGGAAGATGTGAGAGAGGTAAAGGTCAGCATTACAAGAGTTTTGGAATTACACGGCAATAAGTTTTTTTAATTATAATAACCAAATGCGACAAAATGCATTGTTTGGCAGTCGCCAACTGAAGCTCATTGATAGGTGGGGACTTCATCCAAGCCATCTTCACCTTGACCATGCAACTGCTGGAGACTTAAAAGAAGAAAATGAAGATGACCTGGATGAAGTCCCCACCAATCAATGAGCTTCAGTTGGCGACTGCCAAACAATGCATTTTGTCGCATTTGGTTATTATAATTAAAAAAACTTATTGCCGTGTAATTCCAAAACTCTTGTAATGCTGACCTTCACCTCTCTCACATCTTCCATGCTGTCAAGACAGACAGTTGAATAGTATTTCAGTGCACAGCGCCTCAGCGGAACCAATATAGGTCCCATTTTGACAATTTTGTGGGAAAAAGCTTCGATGACCTTCGATAACTTTTAGAGTTGTTTGACAATATCTCTGGTGTTTATGGATTGCCGTCCCTAATTTTTTAGTGACAGTTAGAGTACCTCATTGGGGTCCTTTGATGCCAATATGGTCCAAAAGTGAGAGGGCGTATTTTGGGAATTCAAGAAACCATGTTTTTTTTTTTTTATCGTAAACTTTGTTTCTGGTAAGGGCTGGGGGTCCCAATTTTTTTTTCACTATTTTATGTTGCCCTTTACTGTTTTCAACCCATTTGAGCACCTAGATACACAATTTTAAAAAAACTAAAAAAAAATATATATATATTTTTTTGAAGTTTCAAAAAATCACTGCGGCCAAAGTTCTGAATTTTTTTTTCAAAAAAATTTATGAGAGTGGTCTTTGGGTGGTACACTATCAGATAAAAAATTGGGGGCCGGATCTGAGCAAGTACGTTTTGGACCACGATGGTTTGACGTGGAACGCCCCATGGTTCAAAAGTAAGATGGCGTGTTTTGGGAATTCTAAAAAACGGTGTATTTTCAGTCAAAACCTTTTTTTCTGGCAAAGGTTTGGGGTCCCAAACTATATCATTTTGCCATTTTCTGTTTTCAACCTATTTGCTAATGGCGCCTACAGACACAATTTATTTTTTAAGGCTTGCAATTTTATTTTGAAGTTTCTAAAAGTCACCACGGCCAAAGTTCTGAATATTTTTGTCAAAAGAATTTATAGGAGTGTTCCGTTCCGAGGCTACGATAGAAAAAGTTGGGGCCGGACGTTTTGGACCACACCGTTAAAAATGCACTGTAATATTACAACACAATCACCTACAGTAATGCTGTTATAAAACAACAGTATTGTTTTGTGTCTGAACGGGAAACCCATCTAGAAACAGCTCTTTCGTTTCATAACAATTTCCTTGTCAAGTAACAACAATGTAATCGTCATTCAAAATAGTTGTGTTGTCGTTGAACAGGTTTCATGTTTAGAAACAGCCTTTTGCAATCTTAAAACATATTTTGTTGTCAGGTTACAAGTGTCTTGTTTAATAACAGCACGATGAAATCAACACAAATGTTGGGAAGACATCGTCGAAGACTCCAAAGAAGTATTGTTTTATTACAATCGAACTGTCAGAAAACAGCATCGAGGGCTACAACATGCTTGTAATAAAGCAAGTCGTGCTGCTATCAAACTTAACAGCATAAGTGCTGTTAATTTACAGCACTTTTTTTAACAGTGCATGACGGTTTGACGTGGAATGCCCGCTTACATTAAATTTAGGAACAATTAAACTATGAATGGTTCATTATTTTATGAATGGTTCGTGAAATCTGCAAACCTTTCGGACATTTTCAGGCACTTTTTTAACAAAAATATGGAAGCCACATAATTGTTCATTTGTGATTTTTTCGTAGTGGGCATGAAACGAGCCATTATGAAGCATTCATCGCCAAATATGTCGTAAAATTACGACTACTTTTTTCAGTGAAAGTATCAACGTATGCTTTCCCTCTGTTGCAGTGAGGATGGACGCGCTGCCCGACGAGTTGCTGCTCGAGGTGCTGGGGCGCGTCGACGACGGCCTCACGCTGCTCGACGCGGTGCCGCTGGTCTGCAGGCGCTGGCACCGCCTGTCCCGCGACCCCGGCGCCTGGAGCAGCGTCACGGTGCACATCAAAGGCTGCTTCCACTACGAGGCCAAAGGCGGTGACGAGGACGAGCATGATGGGCACGACGTGATTCAGAATGCAGCGCGCATCCTCCTCCACGCGCCCTCACTCCGTTGCGTCGAGTTCGACGTCGCCGGCTACGGTTCCGACCGTCCCTCGCGGTGCCGCTTTGGCGAAGATCTCATACCTTCTGCTATGGGCCGCTGCCGAGCTGATGTCCGTGAGATTTTGCTGGCGCGACCCGCTTTTTATAATGATACCCACGACAGTTCTTCGGCGTATTCGAGGCCGGCCGGATTTTGCCATCTTCTCGATTTTGTGTCGAGGAGAGTGGGTCACGTCCGGTGCCTGGAGATAGGCTACTTGCTGCAGGCAGGAACTCCGTTCGAGCGCGCCTTGGGGCAGTGCGAGAACCTGGAAGAGCTCCACATCATGCTACCTAACCGCTTCCAGTACGGTGGAGAGCTGAGGGGACGACGGCTGCCCAAGCTTAGAAGACTCACGCTAGAGCCTTGGTCTGTGTTGAGAGTGGAACACTGCCGGCTGTTCCTGACAGACCTCGTCGGCTGCGCGGCGCAGTCTGTGCGCCACATCCGTTGCGAGGGTTCGTCTTCGTCATCCGAGGGTAAGAGAATTTTCACAGCATTCGCGGTGGGCCTAGCTTTCTAGGGAGGTGTTATTTCAGTGAAGATGGGCGTCTAATGGAATCAATTACTGACGTATGAACGTGTGGTTTGATCGGAGACACACGGAGTCGTAAGGTTTGGTGCACTGATTCCTTCATGATACCAGTCTTGGGGTTCGGAGTAACTCCAAAATGCAACATTTTGGTTCAAATTGATCGGTTAGTTCAAGGAAGCGGACTGTCAGGCCAGTTTTTCAATTTTTGACAATTGGCGAAAAGTGTGGGCTTTCTAAAGTCGTGTCATCATGTCTGTTCCATTTGTGGGAGTGAGACACAAAGCAAAATGGCCGCCAGCCGCTGTTTCACAACCGTTTCCGGACCCCCAACCTACGATTTTGCTAGGATTGTCTCGGCATGGACAACCTACTGCTCCGTGACACACCAGGAATCCTTAACTTACCCCAAAACGGCATCATAACGTTATCGTAAGAGTTAACGTTATAACCCGTAACTTGTGACTTCCTGTCAAAAGGATAAGTTATCTTTCTTGTTTCTCAAGTTTGTGTGGAGATACTCTTGGGAGTACTGGCAAAAGTCCGTACCCTTAACCTTTAGCGTACAATGTCTTGTTTCGTCCCTGTAAATGGGGTGAGACTTCGATGCGTTCTAATAGAATAATCCTAACTGCCAGAGAAGACACAAGACAATCGTAGACGCTGTCAATGTGGGAAAAGCAGGGTTTTCGACAAAGGTTGTCCAAATCAAACCAAACTTTGGTTTTGGGTTTTCCTCGGCCCAAAGACATGTGAAAAAAAATTTTGAAAATTTTTCATTAAGTTTTGTCAAAATAGGAATTTTTTTATTTTACTCCAAAGATGCAGCAATTGATTTTGAAAAAAAAATATTCAAAGATCAACTAACAGGGAAGATTTTGAGTTGTGTCCCATGTCTTGGTCTAGCTAGTTTAATTGATATGAACTATTTTACGGTTAGTGTTTTTCTCATGTTTACCCCAAAAATTAAAAAAAAATTTCCTTTTGCCTATCAATTTGATTATAGCTAGTGTCAAACTGAAGATATTTTGACTTTGTAAGCCTCCGTGCAGACAAAAAACACTATTTCGCTCTCAAAATTAACACAGTGTGTGGCATTATAATATAACATTACATTTTGGAATAACGAGCACCGTGGCTATTGCTGGAGCAGTAGAGCAGTTCAACTATTTATCAGTGAAACAAGATAAAGACGGGAGCTTTTACCAACAAATAAGCTTGTATTTAAAAAATTCAGGTCTCAACAACTGGATTGAGGAGAATTTGGGCCAACAACTTAATTTTTTACATAAACTTCCATAGCTCACTAACTAAAGGGAGTTGGGCGCTTTCCCTTTGGGTTTAAGTTCATCTTATAGTGAGCAACTAGAAACCAAAATACATTCCTGATGCCACAATAACTTTGAGCGGATCCAGGCCGAATCGGACCGACTTTACCCCGGCCCTTTTCGATTTGGCCCCCAATTTTTTTTCTTCCTCGCCTTGGTCCCAAAAGTCCAAAAAAAAAAAATTGGTGCAAAAATATTGAGTTTTGGCGGAGTTGTGGGGGTCTCGAGTTTTTGACCTTTTTCAAAAATTAAAAAGGCTGGAAAAACGAAATTTCATTTTTCCCCAGGAAATGCAAGTTGGGGTGGCTTTGCTGGTTGTAATCAATGAGAACAAGGTAGAAGATCATGATTTGGGCAAAATCTGCCCACCGAGAGCCCCCTACCCACTTTGATGAACACACAAACTGTCAATTTGGAAGTATTACTTAAAAAGGCAAATATCTGACCTTGCCCCAACTTTTAAAATGCACCACTATGCATTGAAAATTGCCTTACGGCACTACTAAAAAGAACGACAAAAATCTGAGGCGGTGAAGTAAAAATTTTTCTCTACGCGTTCCAGAAAGCGTAAACTTCTTTGGACTTTTTCGCAAACTTTTGCAGAGCAAGCCCACTTTCCAGCTAATAGTGTTCCTTTGTCATCAAATATGATCAAAATAGATGTTATGTGAACTTCTCCTCAGTGAGTTTTCTCACTTCATTAGTAAGGCCAGCGGTAAAACCATCATAGGCTGGGGTATTATAGTGTGTACATTCAAGAAATGCTCACTTGTGAATTGCTCCATACTGAAAGGATGACGGAAGCAAAGCCTGTAAACATTGGCCCACACAAGAAACGCAACCGTCGTCCGAACCTCCCCTCTCTAAACCCACCCCCCCCCACCCCTCGCCTTCAGACAGGGTATTCACTGTTTCATTGTTTACAAACAATAATGTTTATGTGCGCTCCTCTCAGGTAACTGTGGGACATAATGAGTTTGTGTGTATGAGTTTGTGTGTATGACATCTATTTTGATCATATTTGATGACAAAGGAACACGATTTGCGGAAAAGTGGGCTCGCTCTGGAAAGTTTGCGAAAAAGTCCAAAGTTAAGTTTACGCTTTCTAGAACGCGTAGAGAAAAATTTTTACTTCACCGCCTCAGATTTTTGTCGTTCTTTTTAGTAGTGCCCTAAGGCAATTTTCAATGCATAGTGGTGCATTTTAAAAGTTGGGGCAAGGTCAGATATTTGCATTTTTAAGTAAAACTTCCAAATTGACAGTTTGTGTGTTCATCAAAGTGGGTAGGGCGCTCACGGTGGGCAGATTTTGCCCAAATCATGATCTTCTACCTTGTTCTCATTGATTACAACCAGCAAAGCCACCCCAACTTGCATTTCCTGGGAAAAAATAAAATTTCGTTTCTTCAGCCTTTTCAATATTTTGAAAAAGGTCAAAAACTCGAGACCCCCACAACTCCGCCAAAACTCAATATTTTTGCACCAAATTTTTTTTTGGGGACTTTTGGGACCAAGGCGAGTAAGAAAAAAAATTGGGGGCCAAGTCGAAAGGGGTCGGGGTAAAGTCGGTCCGATTCGGCCTAGATCCGCTCAAGTTCGGATCATTCTTTTAGGACGCGTCGACTTGTCTCGCCAGATTCGGGCGCACTGTCTTTCCCAATACACACTAAATGTTATGTACAATTTTGTACGAGACATCGCAGTGTTTTGTGCACACGAAATTTTCGTATTTTCGTACGAAAAACTGCACATTTTTCGCCATTTTTGTACAAAATTGTACAAAATATTGTACAAATTTGTACGAAAAGTTCGTGTGCACAAAAAACTGTGATGTCTCGTACAAAATTTGTGCTAAAACATTTAGTGTGTAATCTGATGTGTTTTTCTTCGACAGACGTCCTTGCCGAGTTGCCCCGCTGCGTGGAGCTTCGGAGCCTGCACTGCGGCATCGAGGGAGCAGCTGTGTCCATGTCGCTGACTAGGCTACGCAGCCTGTCTCTGCTGATACAGTTTGATACTATAGGGCGAAGCGAGCAGGACCAACTCCGGGCGTGGTCGGCCACAGAGCGCGCGCTTCGTGCAAGCGGTGAACTGCTAAGCCTGCGAGAGCTGCGCCTGGCTGCGGCCTCGTGGCTGTGGGACCCGAACCACCGCCAGGCCGTGTGGAGGGTTGTCACGGCTCTCGGGACCCGGACTCCGAACGTGACGAATGTTTCCCTCGGCAGCATCCTGGGGGAGTTCTTTCACGACTCTGTGCTGGGGTTCTTGAAGTCCCTGCCCCGGCTGGAGTCCGTCCACATCGACGCGTTCCCGTTCCACTTGCTCCCTCGGTTGGCGGAGGTTGGTGGAATCAAGCGGGTTTCGGGAGATGTGACTTGGCGTTCTGATGGGGAGGGGGACTTATCTTGTGCCGCCGCTGAGCTGGTTGAGTTCCAGCGCCGGCGACCGGACATAGATTGCAGGCTCTCCGTTCGCCGCTCTTACTATTTATCCTCCTGAAAAAGCTGATTTCCTCAATTATCTCTGATTCAGTCACCTGCTTTTCCACTTCTCGGCCCAACTCGATTGACATCAACGTGTGGTATTGTTGAAAAAGTTACGAAGGGAGTAAATTAATGTTTGCTTTTTCGCCGTGCTTCTGCCGCGGGGTCCCGGTGGCATCACATAAAACTAAATGTGGTTGATTGATTCTTTATTGTCCTTCATGTAAATATGTCAAAATGAACACCTTTCTGAGAAGTTAAAGTTTCTTTATTCTGTATGGTTCTTCATGTAAAAACATAAAAATAAACACCTGTCTGAGAAGTTCAAATTTCTTTATTCGGTATGGTTCTTCATGTAAAACTGTAATAATAAACACATTTCTGAGAATTTTGTAGAATGACTTGTGGCAGTAATCTGGTACAGGTTTAGCTGAGATAATTGTCAATTTGCAAATTGATTTTATTTTGGGCCAAAACACCATAGAAGTGTTCCTCTTACCTCAGGCGTTTTTTTCCAACATTCGATTCAGGATTTAAAAAAAAATGCCACTGCGCACATCACAAGCAGCCAGGGTCAAAAAAATGCCACTGCGCACATCACAAGCCACAAGCAGCATCTCTACAAACGCAAGTGTTGATCTAGCATGCTTCAGGTTGAAGCAAGTCTGCAAGTGAGACACTCCACCTGGAGCCAACCTGACATGTCACCCCACGCTGGAGCATGCTTGCCAGTGGCGTGTACCTACAAGCTCACTGTTGCTCTGCTTTACATGCAAAAGGTAGGGGACTCCAGGAACAGTATATTTGCAGGTACACGCCATCTGGCGCGTTCACTCTCACTCCATGCTCCAGCGTGGAGCGTACATCGACGCGTCATAATAGAAAATCCTAGCTGTCCGAGCAGACCCAAGTCAATCCTAAATGCCAGAGCTGATCCAAGACAATCCTAACTGTCAACTGATTTACAACTATCTGAACTGCAGAGGTACCTAAAAGTGTTCATGAAGTATCTTCACTGCAAATCAGAGAATCTCGAGATTTCTGAAATACAATGTCCACGTATTTATATAAGGATGAAACTTTAAGCCCTTCGGCGAGTAATTTTATGCAGCATGTTGGCGTCACTGACTTTGAGGAAACACCGCTTTTCACGTGATGTGTGCAGTGAGGAAAGTTAAGAATTGACACGAAAAGTAAAGGATTGTCTTGGATCTGCTCTGACAGTTAGGATTGTCTTGGATCTACCCTGGCAGTTGGGATGATTCTATAAGGACGCTTCGAACTGTGAAATCAATAGACGAAAATTAGGAAAACCTGCGAGCAGAGCGAGCTAAGAATCAAAAACGAAAGAATTTTCGACTTTATTTTGAGCTAAAACTGGTGGTAAGGGAGCCCCCAACATTTTTTTGCGGGGGGAGGGGGGCGCTTGCAGAGGCTAGAAGTCTTCCGACGGGACGTGGTCGCAGACCCGGCACTGCACCTTGGCGGTGGGCAGGACTCGCCGCACCGCCGCCAGCTGCGCGCCGCAGCGGCACGGGCCGCCGTACCAGCGCTGCAGCACGACCCTGGACACGCGCAGGCCGCACTCGGCCAGCAGGGCGTCCAGGTCGCGGCACTCGCGCGGCCACTCCCCGGGCCCCGGAGTGCCCACGCCCAGCCACAGCTCGTCCAGCGAGGCGCTGTGGGCCCGCAGCAGCGACGCCAGGGTGGGCCGGGGCACGCCCGCCGCACGCAGCAACCGGAGGCTGCTTCCACTGCAACGAGGAATTCGTCACAAGGGCAAGTGCACAAATCCAATAAATTTCAGTCGGATTTCGATGAATTTCAGTCAAATTTCGATGAATTTCAGTCAAATTTCGATGAATTGCAGTCAAACATCGATGAATTTCAGTCAAATTTCGATGAATTTTAATGAATTTTACATGTTTGATGAATTTCGGTGTACAAATTTGGCTGGAGTTATTTTCCCTTCATTCGTCACGCTTGAAAGACGCATTTTGAGCAAACACTGGAGGCACAAAAGCATACTCTGAGAATGTGATCAATGCCCAATTTTGGGATAGAGGTAAGGGAGAGTGGGGTAATTCCGGACACGGGGTAATTCCGGACACTTCGATTTTCACTGGGTTTGAGTGAAGGTAACTCAAAAGCCCGCCTAACAGAGGAAGATAATCAGTTAAAAATGATAATTCCAAATCGCCAAGGTAGGACGTCAAACCGTTTGGCTGTGGTCGCTTCACGAAATTTGAGTACCATCAAAAATAGGCAAAAGCGGCATCTTTCACTCGTATTTCCATGTACTTATCGTACCTTAGCGTCAAGTTCAGTCACATGACTAAAATTTTATCATATAATATGGTCATTGGACTTTACTTTGGCGTTTCGGGAGTGTTCGTATGGCTCGCCGTTTTCTTACAATTGAACATCAAATGTTTTCACTACCTGTGGGGTAAATCCGGACAAGAAGGGTTATTTTCTTCAATTTCGCGCATAATGTTAAGGTAGTGGGTTCAAAATTGTGGACATGCATCCCCACCGTTAAGAAGGATAAAGAAAGAACGAAAATTAGCATTGCAGCTATGTTTAAGAGCTTTGCTCAAGACAGTGTTGTCAATTTAGGGGTTTTGATAGAAACTATTCCTTTTAATATGCTTTGAGCGATAATCAAACGCTTCAGTTCGCAGCAAATGTCCTTGTACGCCTTCTAAAAGCATACCTTACATCAAAACAAGCGAAAGTAAGCTCGAGTAGTGTCAAATTTTAAGGTCGTCCGGAATTGCCCCATAGGTCATCCGGAATTACCCCAGGCTGGGGCAATTCCGGACACGTGCAGGGCTTTTGTTAGGCGCCTATATCTCCCTAACCGTTGCTGAGATTTGGATTTCATGTATATCATTTTGAAGGTAAAGGTCCATACTTTACTCTCCTGTTATAACATTTGACCCAAGAAGCATATTTAAGCTCAAAGACCAAAAAGAAAAAAAGCGTCCGGAATTACCCCACTCTCCCTTACACTCTCACACAAATTTGGATGAGGATCACATTCTCACGTCTCTGCATTGCGAAGCATTACTTTCCAGCTTGCAAAGATTTTGCAATGCTGGCCTCGGCGGAGCTGGTTGAGGCCTTGGTTACTCCAAGTTGAGGCCGCGGGGGCCGCAGGGGCCGCAGGGACCACGGCAGATGGCTGAAAAATCACAACATGGAATTAAACACAGCCCTCCTCGCCGACGATACCCCGCGCGTCAAGCTCACCTGACCAGCCACTGCACTGCCGCGCTGCACCGCGCCGCACCCCCTTCCCCTCCCCTTCCCCCCTCGCCCTGTCGCGCCACCGCGCGCCATCAGCTGATTCAAAGACGGGAGGAAAACCGGCAAAAGTACAGGATTTTCTGGCCAGATTTTCACGCGCCCCTTACAATAGCGAAGAGTTCCGAAACCTAGCCAAGGACTATTCCAAACTTGTCCACCAGCCCCGGACAGTTCCGCTTTCCCTCTGGTTAGGCCCGAGAGTCCGGGCCGAATCGGAGTCCGGACCGGACAGTTCCGTTTCTTGGTTTCTGAACCACTCAAAGTCAAGGACTGTCCGAAAGAGTCCTGCCTAGGTGCAGCTGGCCCGGGCCCGGGCCGAGCCGGGGCGCCCGGACGTCCCGGCAACTGGGTACGCGGAAAACGCCGCTCGCCGGCGTGCCGAAGCAAGCCGAAGGCCCGAAGGGTCGCCGAGGTTACCTGGCGCCCTGGCGGACGCGGCCAGAGATGCAGTTTTCGCCAGTTTTCAGCGCGCTGTTGAGCGAGTCACATCGCACAGCAGCGCATCTGTGATCAGTGAACATAGGGGAACGCGCACAAGTCACATCTACACTGTCAGAAAACTCCGTAAAAATACGGAAATTTAACGGAGACTGTCCATTTTTTTTTTACGGAGATCTCCGTTTTTATGAATTATGGATTTTCTCCGTAAAAATATGGAAGTTATGTATATAAATGAAATAGAAGCCTTACTTATCAAAAAGAACAGACCAATTCACGTTATCGATGGGTTGGGTGACCAACTGATTAGGTGTTCCAATAGTACGCCTTCCCTAAAGCGACCTTGCCTTTGGGTTTCCGTCCATTTATCCGATCCTGGCATGTGGTCAAGTGGATCTTCAAACAGTTTTGGAGAATATCACTTTCGTCTAAAAGGACACTGTTTGCATTAACATCGGAGGTAGAAGGAGGGAAGTAAACCGTTAAAATGCGTTTATTTCTGCAAAAATGCGGTTCATCTCCGTAAAAATACGGAAAATCTCCGTAAAAACCCTTACACAACCGAAATCATCCGAAACTGGCCGAGGACACATCCAAAGCTGTCCGGCTGGCCCAGGACAGTCCGTTTTCTGTCCGGGACTCGACTTTTCGAATCCGAATCCGGGGACAGCCGAAGCGGACAGCCCGATTATTTGCCGAAGGCTGTCGGAGAGTCCGAATCTGTCCGACGGTCTGTCCGATACAGTCCGGATGCAGGGGTGACCACCGGAAAGCCTTTGGGTTAGTGCCGGCTGGGATACACTCAATCTTGTTATGACAAGTTAGAACTTTTGAACATGTAGCAATGCCTGATAACGGCTAGTAGACCGGTATTCTCTATCATGGTTAGGCGTACTCTTGTTTGCCTCAGATTCCTAGAATTTGTAGCGAATAATTCCAAAGGGATTGTTTGCCTCGCGGGTCGCGCGAGGGGACGGGTTACCCCGGCGGGACGCGTCTAACCCGCCCATACCTGCGCAGATGCATAGGTAAAGTGGTACAAACACCGTGTCATCAGACAGCACGCTGTATTATATCACACATCTATTTTGCAAAAATAAGCAGCGTCAAACTGTAACATGCAGGGCGGCATGTTAAAATATTACTCGTTCAATACGGTAATGACCTAAATCTGTTGATGCTTGACAGCAAAGAAATTTTCCATGAATATATATTTTGTTCACATAGTGAGTACGACCAAAGTCGCTCAAATTTTGCCAGATCTAATTTAAAATATGTGAGCCGCTATGTCGAATCCCGCTATACAGGTGATTCAGACAAGATGCACGTCGAAAACCGCACCCTTCTAGCTTGCATAGCGCGCGGTGCGCTCGCCCCAGAGAGTAGGAAGGAGCGCCGCGTCGGTGAAGAGGCTCGCCTGCGGGCCTGGCCCTCATGTTTCAGGTTAGCGCAGTGGTCAGCGACGTCGACAGCAAGCAGCGAGGAAAGTCCAAAGGAGAGGGGCCTGGGAACGAATCCAGCCACAGTAGCCCCACCACGGCCGACGCCAGTTTCATTTTTTTCCGGACTCGTCTCGGACGGCCCGGAACGAGCCCAACCAGCCCTGTCGGACTCCCCGAAATCCTTCTGATTGTGGTACTTTTCGACCGATTCCCGGCAAGTCCGGGAAAGATTTCGGAATTGTCCGGCGGGGACTGGCGGACTGTCCTCCGGACAATTTCGGATCGTCCGATCGGACCCATTTCGGAGCCTTCCCCGTTTTATAAGGGAATATGGAAAATCTCCGTAAAAAGATGGAAAATTTACGGAGCCTCCATTCCCAAAATTAGAGTAACTTTCTCCGTAAATTTACGGACTTTTTTTCTAACAGTGTACTTTCCACTCGTTACTTTCTCGGAGCGATGTTCAGGCGATTCGCGACTGTTCTAGAAGTAATTTTTGGTGAGGTGTCGTGTACGGCGTTTTCCTAAACATTGATCGAATTTGAGTGCGTTGCTGTACTAAGTGTCCCAAACAAACAACTATCCGCTGGCTGCTGGCTACCGCAAGTGTGTGTGTCTCTCAAACTTGAAGGACGGGCGGTGAGAGGGTGGGAGGTGTATTATTTTATTCGCCTCTCCTCTTTCACCCTCGTCCCCAAGTGTTCCCATCATTTGCAAACAGCTTCAACGAGTTCGCTTGTGCAGGCATGTACTTGCAGGTATGCTACAGTTAGTGCATGATCAAAATTTGTGTGTAATATTCCACTGGAGGCTGTAAATCGCGTCCCTTGCCGTGTCTGACCGGCCACCGTGCCCCGAGCCGAGTCGAGCCGAGCCGCCACGGCAGTGGTGGCCGCCCAGCCGAGCCAGGTAGGGTGAGCCCAACCGGCGCTAGGGCGCGCTCCCGCGGAAAATCCCCGGCCGGCCGGCCGAAGCAACCTGCGTCCGAAGGGAAAGGGGAAGGGGGAAAGGGAGGGGCGAGGGGCAGCAGGCTGGTGCATTTGTTCGGACTGTCCGTTTTTCGACTAGCGTTGGTACTCAGGACAAGTCCGGAATCTTTCTGACTTTGGTCTTTTTCAATGTTTTTGGGAACTGTCCGAGGGCGGATTTAGGAACTGTCCCGGTCCGACTTTTGGAGCCGTTTCGGACGGTCCGCAAACGGTTGTTTTGGCTGCTTTTCGGACTCCAACATTTTCGTACGGGGCCTCGCTCCGACACAACGAGAGCAAGCTGTCACAGAAATTCATGTTGAGGCAATAAGTAGAGCCGCTTCCGCAGATCTTTTTTCTTTAAGTCCGGCATTTATTCTTCATTTCTTCTTAACTTCTGTCGTAAGGGAGGGTGGGGCACCATGACCACTTTTTTTTTTTGTGCCTCCCTCTACTCCACCGTGTGGTTCGAACAGTTAAGTTTCTAGCATGAGGGGATTCTTTGGACCTCCAAGGACCTCTTCCACCCATTGGAACTTGTCTGCAATGCACGGCAGGCTCACAGAACACTTTGGAAAATAAAACGCAAAGTGGTCATGGTGCCCCACCTATGGGGCACCATGACCACCCCGTGGGGCACCATGACCATAGTAATTTTTTGGCCCAAAAAAGTGTACTTTCTACCAGTATTCTCATTGAAATTGTTTATATCGCTGTCATTACCTTCAGGCCAGTCAACTAAACTAAAAAACACTGTAAAAACCTTCGAAGTATCAAACGTTCTAAGATGCCTTGAAATGGACGGTTTAAAACAGTTAACGCTCTAAGGCTTTCAAATTTCACATCCAAAGCTATGACATGTGTTAACATTTTATGTTTGTCTTGCTAAGACGAGTCCAAATTCGTATGCAGATTTCAATTTGGTAAATTTTAAGAAAATTATCGCGGTTACTACACTGCAAACAAGTGAATTAAATGCTGTTTCTCATAATGCCAGAGCCATCTTGGTGCAAAGTAGCCACGGATCGCCTTCGCGGCCAACTTTTGCGGTTTGGAGCTCATTTAGTGCAAGAGAAACCACCATTTCAAGTCTCAGTTTCAGAACCATTCTTAATCATCTTGGTGATTCACAAATTATCACAAATTTGTGATAAAACTATCTATTCTGCAGCAATTATTCAACCTTTATACATTTTCAGAAGCAAAAAGCAAATTCTCGACGAAAATAAATCATTATCAGGCCAAAATATGAGAAAAAACACTCAAATATGTGTGGTCATGGTGCCCCACTAAAAAGTGGTCATGGTGCCCCACAGTGCAGTTTACGACTCTAAGGCTCCCCGAGCAAGCAAACAACCACTTAGAATTAAATGTGATGTTGGATATTTTGCCGAAGAGCCGACATTTTGAGAAAAACCTAAAACATCGAACCTATCTTCTCAAATGTGAGAGTGAGAAAAAATATCCCAGATTTGAAAAACGCCCAATTTAGCCAAAACGCTGTAACAAAAATTTTGGCGAGGTGCTATGGTCGTACCCTTGAAGCTAGAAGGTAGGGCTCTGGCTGAAAATAGTTAGAATTCTATTCTCTCGAAAGTCCGGTCGACCGGTTGCCGTCGGCAAAGTAGTTCCCGAGAGCGAGGGGGGTGGTCATGGTGCCCCAGTGGTCATGGTGCCCCACCCTCCCTTAGCTTTTCTTCGAAGTACTCTAATTGAGCGTTTCACGTGAAATCTCAACTCTGAGCGAAATCTATGCACTTAAACTCTAAACACTACTCTACAAATCAAAGAGTGTACATAGTATGCTCTAACTGGAGCACACTCAAAAAAATTTCAATACAAAATTCTGTAACATGGTTACGCAGTAATTTCCACTACAAATGTTACAGAATTTTGTATCAGCACTGATACAAAATTTTGTATCACGCGTTACGGTAAACTGTTTCCCGGTTACAGAATTCTGCAATGCAAAAATCATAAAAATTTGTCGTTTTATAAACAAAAATTGAACCTCACCGATCGTTTGTTCCTACACATTCGCTCCGTCGCTTCTGTACTCTCGAACACCCGGGGAAATCGAACTGCGTTCTCCGGAACCGAACCCCGGTCCCCCGGATTGCCAGCTCGGCATGCTACCGCTTGCGCCACAGCGCCGTATGGGGTGGCACGCCTCAGACTGTCGATGACACCGAGCGGGCACGCTGCATGCCCAGGTATAGTGGTGGGAAACGAGCCCTGCGGCGCGACAGTTAGAGTTCCTGGCCCGAAGCTTCTAAAGTACTATGCCCCACGTTAGGACTTTTCGCCCGATCAACTGTGACGTTAAAATTAAGCTCGTAATTTGACTTTAAATTTGCGTTATTAATTTTTGCATCACCCGATATGTAAACTTGTAACGATATGTTACGGTTTTCTGTATCAGTTACAGTTACTTGCATAAATATCGCATTTTTACACGGAACTATATCACTGATTGTGAATATTGAAACGAAAAGTACAGAATTTTGTATCAGTTTTAGAATTTTGAAGCACTGATTCGTAAATTCGTAACATTCTTGACGTGATACAGAATTTAGGATCAAGGATACAAATTTTTGTATCCGACTGACGTGTTACAGAATTTTGTATCAAGATCGTTACAAAATCCTATATTATTTTTTAGAGTGCATGCCTGCAAGCACGCTCTAGCAAGCGCATGCCTGCCAAGCATGCACTAACTAGAGCATACATGCCATGTACACGCTTCCTGATGCAGAAAACTCCCTATCCCTTATGCAGTAAATGTATGCTTCAGTTAGCGTGTACATGGCATGTATGCACTAGTTAGTGCATGCCTGGCAGGCATGCGCTAGTTAGAGCGTGCTTGCAGGCATGCTCCAGTTAGAGCGTACCATGTACACTCTTTGATTTGTAGAGTACGTAGTTCAGTGAGACGAAAGGTTCGGACCGGTAGGAACGAGCCCGGACACGTGCGTATCCAAGTTTTCAGAGTGCGTAAATGCCTAGATGTTCAATTTAGTGTTCTAAAGGGTAGAAATATTCCCGGGAATTTAGGGAATTCCCAGGAACGTTCCCGGGCACAATCAGACCCAAAAAATGGGAAATTCCCGGGAATTTTTAAAAAATGGCAAAAATAGCTACTTTTTGCGCGGAAAATGTAGAAAGTGCAAGGTATCAAGTTAATAATTATGAAACACTTTAGTGTATTTCTATTTTTGTTTCAGAAGAGAACAAAATGAAACGTGTCGTAATAAAAAGTTCGCTTCTTGTCAATAAAAATTTGTATCAGAAATTTAACTTTTGTCAAATGTGATCGGTTTCATATGAAGCAATGTTCCCGGCCAAGTGGGAATATTCCCGGGAATTCCCGGGAAGTCTCGGGAATATTCCCCCAAATGATTGTTCCCGGGAATTTTCGAACACTAGTTCAATTTGCTCGCAACGTGACGAATAATTTGCAGTCTCAGTGCGTAATCACTTTGTTACATGTAGACGTGCCTCTGATCGACCTATCGAGAGCCATTATCTTTCGTTTTCGGTCAAGATGGCGGCTTGTCCCATTCATTTCTTTGTTGTCCTTGCAGCACGCGACGCCCCGCGCCCACTTTCGTAAAGAGTACTCCAAAGAAGCCCTGGCCCGGAAGAAAAAGAACAAAAACGGAAGCAAGAAATTGCAGTTTCCATGAGAAATATACGCTGCACTCAACCAAAAATGTCCTGTCAATGCCGTTAATTTATTACCAGTTTTCACCGTAGGTCAATTCACAGCGTTTACTGTGATCTGCTCACGCGATTCACTGTGATCTTGTTCACGGTGTTCACTGCGATCTGGTTCTCAGTAATCACTGTGAGTTTGACGCCGCTGAGCACCGAAGTGCGGCAAATCAGCCTCCAATTCACGGCGTTTACTGTGGCCAGATCACAGTGAACACTGTAACCGAGATCACAGTGAACGCCGTGAACTAGTTCACAGCAAACGCCGTGAATTGCATAACAGCAAACATTGGTAATAAATTAACGGCGTTGACCGGACATTTTTTGTAGAGTGTGCGCATGAGAGTCCGCAGCGTATATTTCTCATAGAAACATCAATTTCTTACTTCCGTTTTTGTTCTTCTTCCGGGCCAGGGCTTCTTTGGAGTACTCTATTCAGGAAGTAGGAGAGGCCTGTGATAGAGCGTGCCCGCCCATGTAGTTCCGGAGTGGTGACGGCCTAGCGTAATTGATTCAGGTGTGTTCGGCATCTGGTCAACAATCTGGTCTCAACGAGGTCTGAAAGAGGTAGGTGCTTCGCAGAAGGTTCAAAACTGAAGTTGACCTTGTTCTGAAGTGGTTCCTGGTTTTTCAGGAACTGTTTGGACATCGCCTATGCCTCTTCCTCGGCACGGGCAGTCTGGGCAGCCAGGAACCGTTTTTGCTAGATTCCAGTTCAAATCCGGTAGCAAGTTTGCTTGCTGTCATCCATATTATTTCAGAAGTGACCAATATAATTGCTGCTCGCATGGCGACTGAAGCAGCCATCTTCATTCCAACCAACTTTGTTGCCTGCCATCCCGCCTTCGAAGCCTGTATTGAAGTTTGCGGTCGCTGTGTTAGAGCGGGACAAGTGACTTCTGCTGCGGTTCTGGTACTATAATAGAGCACTCCAAAGAAGCTCTGGCCCGGAAGAGGAAGAACAAAAACGGAAGTAGGAAATTGCAGTTTTCTATGAGAAATATGATCTGCGGACCTCATGCGCAGCGTACATTTCTCATACAAACTGCAGTATCATACTTCCGTTTTTCTTCTTCTTCCGGGCCAGAGCTTCTTTGGAGTACTCTATCGTGACTGGAGGATTGATTGTACGGAGTACATCCATAGATCTTGTGTGACCTGAATTCTTCCTGGTGGTGAAGCTTTATGTCCTTTCATGTCTTAGGTGTTCATGTCAGGTAGAGCTGCCTTTCCCTGCGTTTAAGAAGCCCGAGCTGCGTAACGATTGCCCCTGCTTCCGCTGAATTTCAAAGGGTGAGACATCTCGCCAATAGGGTACTTTCGTAGATCCCTGAACCGGAAGTACACAGACGCCATGTTGGCGGAAGTAGATCCTAATTTGACATGGGAAAGAGACGTTAGTCAAACGTATCGGCCACACTTGAACATAAACAGTCGTTTCATACTTTTTTGCAGTGCATATGTGTTTCGCGAGCAATATTTGTACAGCTCGCCTATAGTTTAGAACCGAAAAGATGCTAATTTCCGGCCAATTTGGCGTCTGCTGGTCTGCTTGCTTCCGGTTCAGGATCTACGAAAGTACCTTATTTTCGGCGATTCGAAAAGTATCATTGATAAAAAGATTGTCCACAAATGTATCATCGATCAAAAGTTAGATACCAGCGAGATTGGCCCTTGTTTTCCAGTGAAAGTATCACTCTCTTTCGGTGATACATTCGTGTACGACCCATTTTTTGGCGATACATTCCTGTGCTGTTTTTTTTAATCGGTGATTCATGTTAGTTTCACCCTTTTTCTGTGAGAGAACTCTGTCTCACCCATCAGAGAGCGTTTATCACTATTTGATTTTTAGTGTGACCAGGCATTTCCAGCGTATCACTTACACACTCATCTTCGAGACGACAACATGTTATCTGTAGCTTCTTAAGTTCTTGCGAAGCCGTATCGTCTCAAAGTGACGAAAGACGGTTCTTTTCCTGTGTCGCAGTCTGCAATTTGAGATGGCCGCCGTGGACCTTTCCGCCCTGCTGCCTGACGAGCTGTGGGTGCGCGTGTTCTCGTTCTTGGACGACGCGGCGACCCTCCTGGACGTGGTGCCGCTGGTCTGCAGGTACGTACGGTCATGTAAAATGACGAACGAGGCCGACACGAAGTATACTGCTCTTCCAAAACAAGTACACTGTTTTTGGAGCACACGGGTCGGGTACATCGGGATCTCGATACATAGCGATATCTCAGCATCACTTGGACACAACATACATTATTACAAGGTAGCGGTGTACGCCAGACCGTGCCTTGTCGTAACAGGCTTCGCGATGCTTCGCTAGTTTCGACAATCCACGCCTGGCGTTTTAATACACCTACCTTGGCCTGTGGCGCCCTCGGCAAGCTGTCACTGAAATTTCAATTGAAGCACTGAGTAGTTGTGCAGAAGGTTCCAAATGGAATACATCTGAGAAGACCTTTCGGAAGCCGCAATAAAACTTTTCAGTCAGCCAACCCCCTTTTTCGACGATTCTGATCGTGATAACTGCCGAAGGCGGGCTCGTAGACCCCCCTTCCGACCACTTGTTGAAAAGATCTCGGCGAGACCAATGGGCGATTCCATGCCAAACCAACGAACTCTTGGAAATTCATCTCTTCGATTTGGATGAAACTTTTTTTAAGGGTAGAGGTCATTATGAAAAGATCCAATGCCAAAGGGTTTTGCGATATCTCTCCCCGATTGGCTGTAATAACATAGCAAAAGTTTTCACTTTGGTCAGAATCATGATATTTTCTTTATTTTCCTCCGTACTTACTGAAAGTCTTAAGATTTGTTCCGAGAGTGGTTCATTACGTAAAAAGAGCTGGGGAACACGATGGAAATAGTTTCGAGACGATTGGGTGAAGTTTTGACGTCGGTTTCTCTATTCAACGTAATTTATTTCCGAAAAATCGATGTTTCCAAAATAGCTCTTCTTCGATTTCGATGTGACTTTCCTCACATGATCCTCTCCCTTATTGAAAGAAAATCCTAAAAGGATTTGGTCGGCCCACCGTAAGTTTTTTATTTGCACAAGAAAAGATGTACCATTTTGGCTGTTTTTCTTGAATTCCCGAACCATCTTTCTGAGTTTGCATCCAAGCTTATGTCCCGTGAGGAAATAAATTTTGTCTTGTCGAGACGAATCCGTTGATATATAGAAAAGCCATTTTGGACAATTTTGGTAAATTTTCAAAATTGTCCAAAATTACTGGGGGTGGGACAGGGATTTCTCCCACGCTTGCAAGTGTGGGACACGGATATGTCCCACGCTTTCAAACGTGGGACACCGTTTGTCCCACGCTTGTAAGTGTGGGATACGGATTTGTCCCACGCTTGCAAGCGTGTAACACGGTTTGCTCCACGCTTGCAAACGTAGGACATTTTGTCCCACGCTTACAAGCGTGGGACAGTTTGTCCCACGTTATCTGGTGCATGCCTGTCCCACACTTGGATTTTCAGTGCGCACGGTCAGGAAAAGTTTTTTTAACCGCACTGGAGTATCAGGCTTCGCTATCGCTCAGCCAATCATCACAAAATTGAAAATTGAAAATAAAGAATTCGGACCAAATGTGACGACACCGTTTCGTGGACTTCTTTTTTTAAATATCAACGTAAAATGCTGTGTGTCCTTTATCACTCCGCACCGCTAAAGAGGTCTGAATTTCGAGTCTCGCTCCCAAGGTTACCAGACATAATGTCCATGAACTTAATGTCCAATGTCTAAGTGTCCATGAATTTATGTCCATGTGCATGATGTCCAGGTTTTAATGTCCATGAATGTTAAGTCCAAGGGGTAAATGTCCACGCACAAAAATGCCCATGTTTCATAATGTCCTTTAAATATTGGCCAGGAAATACTCCGTTCTGGCAGGAACATTCAAATGGTCAGGGAATCGCCATTTTTGGAGATACTTCCCGCGCGAGGGCTGTTCGGGAGGTAGGAGTTCCATTGTTACCCGTCTCATAGTAAAAATTTTCAGTCATGGCAGAAATCATTCAATCTCATAGAGGAAAGCCCCAGTTAGTTTACCGCATGAGAAACGTGTTATGGAGAGCGACAATAGGATCATCTGACCTAAGATATTTTCATAACAGCTGCACTCTTAAAAGCCTACGAATCATTTGCTTTTTAACTACAAAGCAAATGAAGGCGTTGTAGAATTGCTTCGTATTATGAAGAAATGCTTCGTATTACGAACGATTTTGCTTCATAATACGAAGCATTTCTTCGTAGATTTTACAATGCCTTCATTTTCTTCGTATTACGAAGCGATTCTTCGTAGAGTTTTCACTGTGTGTGGCGTGGTGTTGTTGCTGCGGAGTGCTGGTTCCCGGTGCTGCGACGCGGTGCTGCGGGGATGGTTGAATAAATTTGGACATTCTGACTCATGGACTAAATGGTTTCTGGACCTTAATTTGGAGGACCTTTTTATACATGGACATTTAAACCTCATGGACATTTTTTGGTCGTGGACATTTTGGATCATGGACATTATTTCTCTGGACCTTGTATGGTGGAATGCGCTCCCAAAAGGTGAGAATTTTGTTTTCGGGAATTGTGTTTTGAACGTACGTGGTCTCACTATTTTAAACAAGAGAAATTTTCCGTACGATTTTGCACTGGGTCTCACCTTTTTTAATTATGTGAACTTTTTCGTACACTCCCAACATCTTACTGAGCTTTTTCTTCGTAATACTAAGGAAGCGCTTAGTATTATGACTGCTCAGCGAAGGTAGTAACTTATAGTGCAGAGTTCTCATGACCACTTTCTTCATATTACAATCAAAAATCCCTGTATTGTGACAGATTTGTATCGTAAAGTTTTAAGAATTAGCTTAGTATTATGGCTGCCCGGCATTTCTAAGTACGAAACTGGGAGTGTACAAATTTGTTCGCACGGTCGTACCATTTCTTGCGAGATTGCAAACAAATTTGTTCCGAGTGCTAGCATGCGCACTATTGTCTCAGACTACGAACAATCATTGTGGAGGCGAATTAAGTATGTGAATATCGCACAACCCTGTCTGCAGGCGGTGGCGTGACCTGGCGGGGTGTCCAGGGAGTTGGGCCAACGTGTCCGTCATAAGGAACGTGGACTGGTTTAAGGTGCCCGATCCAGACCTGCGCGTCCTTCTCCACGCCCCTGGCCTGCGTTGCCTGGACTTGCACTGCACTGGCAGGACCTGCGGCGACGGTAGCAACGCGGTGAGTCAAATCGAAGGTGCCGCAAATCATGCTCAAATAGATTACTTTCGTGAAGTGGAAGTTAAAAGACGCCTCGGTGACTCGAGATCTCTACGAAAAACTCTAAGCAGGCAAGATTAAATCTTAAAAATTTAATTTCGTACATGATGACAGATTCAAGAAGCATACAGTTAAATTTTGATATAAACGTTGCAAGTGTCAGGTCACTCCGTAGAGCATTTCTGTGACTTATCCCTTTCCGTTGAAATAGTCAACAGTCATTTCAGTTTCTATTTCCTAAAGGAAGTTAAATTTGGAGACAATTCAAGTACAAGATTTTACGAAACAACCTGTTTTGATCGTTTCTGCAAAATCCTTTTAAATTGTCTTTGGATGAAATTTAGACTTTCGACAGACAGCTCATTGTTCATGGTGGTAACTCATGCGCAATAACCTACATTTTGACGAAAACGGGGTTGTGATCTCAAGATGGGTTGTCTCCAAGTGACAATATTATAAATGGAGCCCTGTTGACTTCCGTTGAGCTTTTTCCATTTTCTGCTAAATTGTGAGCGAAAAGGGGTTGAGTTGTTTAATTTCTCCCCCTGCATTTCTCCTTAACTGCTTGGAATTAAGTCGTACAATTTGATGTAATGATTCAAACCATTCTCAGGTCCAATTATACAATTTGAGGACAAGTCAAGTTATTCTCTTCTTCCGCTTCCTGTACACACTAAATTCTTATGGACTTTTTTTATGCATAGTTATGCATGCACAGATACGTCCGTATGTTATGTATAATATTATGCATCACTGTGTACATTTTATGCAGGAAGACGCATAAAATGTACACAGTGATGCATAATTTTATACATACCTTATGGACGTTTCTGAGCATGCATAACTATGCATAAAAAATGCGTCCTTATGCATTTAAAAAGTCCATAAGAATTGTAGTGTGTACGTCCCTGATTTTAATTTTCCTTGTCGTTTCATTGCACAGGGACGATGGCTTGAGGACCACTGGCTTGTGTCGGCGCTGCGTCGCAGCCGCGCCGTGGTGCGACAGGAGCTGCGGCTGTCGGGGTACTTCTGGAGCAACCTCCCCCGGTCGGGTCGGCGCGCGGTGGCCGAGATGGTGGGGCGGAGCGCGCCGTTGCTGCGCCGCCTCCACGTGACGTTGTCCGAGGAGGACCGCAACGAACCGGAGGTGAGTCGTCGAGTACGACACTGCTCATTCAAGAGGAGGCACACGCTAAAACTTTTCTCGAACCTTAGAAGGAGCATCGCCGAACGCCGAACATACGGCGTGAATCGCGACAGGGGTTTGCCGTCGAAGCACGGCGCGAAGCGCACGTCACGGGTTACGTGCGCTGAGTTGCTTTCCGCTTTTAACCGGGACATCCTTCGACAATGTACACTAGTGACCACAAAATAAGATTCTACGTGAAATTTAACGTTGCCTTTGCTAGTATATTCCGTGTCTCCATTAGATTTGAATTGACGAACGAGCATCAAACATGCACTGAGAATGAAAGAGTCACCACCATCGCCCTTATATTGGGTGATGCACGCATCGTCGCTCAAATTTGGGTAACGAGCCAGCGGTGACCATATTTGGGCAGTCCTAAAATCGTCGCCCAAATTTGGGTAACGTCGTCGGCGACGCCCTAAGGTCCCCGATGACGTTCTACCAGAGCCACGACGATGACCCCATGCGGCGTTGAGGCCTCCGGTCATCGTGGTGGCCCCGGGAGGACGTCACGAGGGACCTCACGGCGACGCCGACGGCGTTTCCCAAATTTGGGCGACCTAACGCCTGTTGCCAAATTTCGGGTAATGAATTTTTCGTCACCCAAAATAAGGCAACGAAGTTGCATCACCCACTTTAAGGGTGATGGTAGTGACCCATTCATTCTCAGTGATGGACGGCAAGCCATTCGGCGGAAAGCCACAACGGGGCCTCATGGTCCCGGGCACTCCCACCGAGCTTCAGCGGCGTTCGGCGTGTGATTCCACGGAACTAAGACGCGACACGACAGTTTTCTGCCGAAGAAGGCTATTTACGCGGAATTTTCGGCGGGGCATTTCAAGAAAAGTTAGCTGTGGAAAAAAGAAGTGAGGGGTGTCGCATAAGTTGCCTACCTTTCAGCCCCTCCCCCTGAATCCACGTTTGAAGGAGGGAACAGTCACACACTAGTTAGCTTGAACCTAATGTTTCATGCTTTCAAGTGCGACCCACGTTTGTTTCACGCTTGTAAGTGTGAGGCACGGTTTGTCTTTCACTAGCCCCTCAGGTCTCAATCGTTCACACTTAAGGGGAGGTTCTGGTGAAAATCTTGCCATTTTCCCAATGGATCCCACTGTCATGATTTGTTCGGTATATAAAATCTTTCTTCGGGGAGACGAAAATTTGAATTTGGAAGGCACATGCCAGGCTCTGAACCCAGTCAAAGAGTCTTTTTGAGCCTAATTTGGCTGTATCTTAAAAAATCTTTTTGCGCATACTATTTTGTCGTAATGTTGTGCCTGCCGGCATCTTCTAAAAATGAATCGAAGAAGTGAAAAATGTCCAGGCCAACCTTTCACGACAAAATAGTATGCGCTAGAAAATTTTTAAAGTTATTGCCTTAATAGGTCAAAAAGACTCTGCGACTGGGTTCAGGGCATAGAATGTGCCTCCCCAATGAAAATTTTTAATAATTACTGCGTAAGACATCAAATTTTAGTCAAATTTTCACATTGGGACCTATTTATGAGAAAATAGCATTTACCAGAACCTCCCCTTAATAGTGTGAAACTGTCCCACTCTAGAATTTGCTGTGCAGTACAGTGAACGTTTTTGGACAAATTTTGTACGTTTTTTTTGTGCAGAATATTTTGTTTTGTACAAATTTGTACCGATAGCTGGGGTTCAATGAGATAAATCGGGGCATCATGAGACAATTGCAGGTTTGTTTGATCACATTTAAAGCTGCGTGATTATGGTCTGTTGGAAGACTATCACGAAAACCGATGCTTCATGTAGACACTTTTTCAAAGCAGTTAAAGGGGAAAAAGTGATCAAATGCAACTAGAGTTTGATGGCTATTTCCTGTTAAGCAGTATGTTTTAAGAATCTAAAATAAGCATTGGTCTCAAGCTACCCCTGTGTACATAAAATGTTTTAAACAAATTTTGCACAGATTATTGGACGTGAAATTTTTTGCGTTGATTTATTTATACGTGTGATTTAGAACAAAGCGAGAGAAATGTGTGTGATTCTCCGCACGAAAATGGCAAAAAGTTCTTGCACTAAAAACTATGACTCCTCTTCCACTTATTATCTTGCATAATATGCTTTCCCATAGCATGAGAAAGAAACAAAATAAAGGTGCACGGGAAAAATTAGACCAGAACGCGAGTGTTTCGCCCGGAACGGAACCATCTTTTTAATTCGGACGATCACAATATGTTATAGTCTTATACAAGGTTTAGAGGTCACATGCAGGTGGTACACAGTAAAAAAAGATTCGCTGTTTTGGTGGTCGTTCTATATCCAATCTCACCGAAACGGGTACCCCTACAAACCCGGCGACGGTCTGTCACCAAAACGGTGACCTGCGTCACCAGGTGGTGTTCCGCCAGAGAGGTTAGGATGACCACAACAACTGTTTTTGAGCTGTTTGTGCATATTTGTGCGTGCCCGCCGGCAACGTTACGCTTTGATGAGTCACGCGAATGATTACTGACAGCCCCTGACTTGTTTTGTGTCCTATTTCACATTAATACGACGATTAAAAGTCGCTGGCGGGAGGGTGACTGCAGTGCCGTTCTGGTGAGGTGGCCGCTCCGGAACGGACCGAGCGCCACCGAAATTAGACCAAGCGTCGCCGAAACGAACAGAGGGCCGCCAGAACAGTTTGAGGGTGTTGCTGTTCTTGTAATATTCTCGTTTTGGCGCCCAGACGTCACCGAATCGGCGAATCTTTTTTTACTGTGTAGCATCTCCCGCAACATACCTGCAAAGTAAGGAAACAACTGTTTTTATTGGTGTTTATTGTCATTTGCAGCCTCTCGACTGCGGCGAGGACATGACCGACGACGAGATATTCGCTCTCCTGGACACGCTACCCGACCCAGCCATCCCCATGGTGGAGGCCGTGCTCCAGGTGAAGCGCGTCGAGGTGCTCCATTTGGACACGGACATCGACGACCTCAACTGCGATGCTGATGGGCCGTTTATCTACCAACGTGAGCTCTCAGGAATCTCTCTCCCGAAACTACGAGAACTCGTCATCAAGGTAGTGAAAAGCGGCCTACGTTTTAAAAATTTGGATCTTTCCCACACTCAATATAGCACGTTGCCACTCTTACTAGACGTACTGAAACAAGCTCATGAGTCGCTGAAAAACATTGAACTACATCATGCATCAAACCGAAACGAATGTTGCTGAACCAATAAAGTGACATTTTGTCCTTCATGAATAGTAAAGTACCTGTTTTCACCATAAACGCTTGCATGTGTTCCACGGCGCACACGACGGGCTAATAAGGGAGGTGTCCCAGGTGATACATCCAGATGTTGGCCATGTTTTGGGGATCTCTTGTAAAAAAGGTTAAGGTATAAAATCATTTGTGGGTCACTCTTAAAAAAAAAAAAAGAGTTTTGAAGTATTATTTTGAACAAGTAGCCAATGTAGCTGTGAGACGTTTAAATATGATCCCTTGACTTCGTTTTGCAGCATAGCAGCCCCGTGTATCGCCTCCGTTTATTGAGCTATAGCTGTTTTAAAACAGGCTGTTTTTGCCCACAATTGATTTTTGGAACCACTCGTGGGTCAGCACTTTTTAAAGCTACCGGCGCGCCAAGCCTTTCACAGCTTTTGCCAAATTTGGGTTGACCTACAGTCTTTCACCTATCATACACTCAATCGGTAAGGCGTCCCCCTTCATTCGATAATTAGATTTTGAAAATGTTTGGAAAACATACATTTTTTCTTGCCCTCGGTTTGGCCCAAGCCCAAGTTTCCGTCGAATTTTGTAGGTCTCTCTTTGATGCCCGATAGGTGGCGTTGTGGTCGTTGCTCAGACATCCGCGCTCTTTCAGCTGACAAAGGAAGGTTGAGGGAAGACCCATAGGGGTAGGTTGGGGAAGAAAAGTACAAAACGCGTACTTTGCACTGTACAGAAGTTCCAAATGAGGATTCAACTATTCTGCTCTCGTGAACTTGTAATCCAATGCCTACCTAATGAAATGGATCACTGTTCATTGATAATAGTCCCCCACATTACGTACAACATGCCAAAATGTATGTGATTTTGGAACTCCTCGAAAAGGGAAAGAAAAGTACACCACCGGGAAAGAAAAGTACAACGAAAAGGATTGCGATTTCGAACCAGGAGACCACTAATCTTGGCTCAATACAGGTTTACCCCTAAAGTGGAGAGTTTTCACTTGCCATTAGTTAAAGTTTCGTCAAAATCGGTCAATTGGTTCTGATTCTACATGGACTCATCACAGAAGGTGCAAAAAGCCTTTTCTCAGAGATAAGTGAGTACAGCATTTTTTTGTACTTTTCTTCCCCATTTTACGTAAATGCGCAATAACTTGTTTATTTCGAGTCTAATTCTATAACTTGTGTTGACATTTTTTGCTTGTCTCGCCCAATCAAATCTATTTCCGTGATCAATTTAATTTTCATTCCGCTTTTAGTTTCTTTGAGGGTGTTTTTTTCTTCCCCAATGCCTGTACTTTTCTTCCCCAGCCGACTGTACTTTTCTTCCCCATTTCAATTTTACACTTATAAAAAATTGTGTTGAAGCCTAAGAGCATCGAACGGCACTGTTTTTCAAAGATGATGGTCTAAGCTATAAGGTGGTACCTTACATTGGACTGTCGGCTGATTATGCAGGAATCTGTACTTCAAAGTACAAACATTTAAAAAAAAGATTTTCATAGTTATTTTTAATGTTTTTTTCAAACATGCAGTTTGATACTAAATATTATATGTAGAACTGGGCTAAATTTATTTTTTGTCAGCGGGACGACCAATCTTTCGAAAACCACTAACGTGATGGTTCAGTGTAGTTTTAGTTCGGATATATAACGGGTGTTTTTTTCTTACCCGAGCCTCGAGTGTACTTTTCTTACCCAACCTACCCCTACCGAATTTGAAATCGATTCGGTCTTTCATGGAATTGTAGCGGCCCGTCGAATAAAATGGCCCATAATTGATTCGTGACTCACAATTGATGTTCTACCGTCATTCTCCGCCTTTAAGTTGCGGCTGAGATATATTGGAACAATCTTGAAAGTTGTGTTTAATTTTTCAAGAATACTCAACAAAAAGTTTCCTTTTAAGAAAATTTAACTTCACTTATAAAATTGTCGTAATATACCTCATCAGCAACTGTTATGCGGAAAATTGATCTTTTTTTTTATTGTATGAGATATACTCAATGCATGGTCAACATCCGGATTTAACACCTGGGACTCTTCCCTTGTAAGCTGAGGATTCTGGAGGGACTGCCACGGCGTCGCGCTTTCACAGGGCAAGTTCGGGCCGGTGCCGACTGCGCTCATCTCGGACCTGCTGAGCGCCGCGGCAAACACGCTGGAGGTGGTCAAGATCGGCAAGACCATCGAGTCCTGGAGCGCCGACGCGAACCTGGACCTGCCCGGCGTGGTGGCGGCGCTGTCCCGCTGCACGCGCGTGCGTGAGCTCGCCGCAGACCGCTTCTGCCTGCCGGCTATGGCCAGCCTGCCCTCCCTGCAGGACCTGCAGCTCCACGTCCAGTGCAACGAGAAGAGGGTCGAGTCTGCTGGGTTCTTCAGGTACTGATGCGATGCTGGTGGCAAGGGGTGAAAGGAGACTCCGAATTTGGCATGCCAAGATAGACGCTGGTCGCCTTTGTCGCCTGCTCAACTTTTTGGGGCGCCAAATGTCACCCAGTTTCTAGGCATGCCACAAAATTGGAAAGCCTTGATATGAAATCTTAATGTGCTTGCCAGTATTTGGCGCTTCGGCTGCCTGCAAGGCCAATATTCTCAAGTTAGAGAGTGGGCGCCTTGCCAATTTTTGGCAATCAAAGCGGCTTTCCAGTTTTGTGTTACATTGAAAATAGAATGGTCATAGGGGTAGGTTGGGGAAGAAAAGTACAAAACGCGTACTTTGCACTGTACAGAAGTTCCAAATGAGGATTCAACTATTCTGCTCTCGTGAACTTGTAATCCAATGCCTTCCTAATGAAATGGATCACTGTTCATTGATTATAGTTCACCACATTACGTACAACATGCCAAAATGTATGTGATTTCGTATGTGATTTCGGAACTCCTCGAAAAGGGGAAGAAAAGTACAACGAAAAGGATTGCGATTTCGAACCAGGAGACCACTAATCTTGGCTCAATACAGGTTTAACCCTAAAGTGGAGAGTTTTCACTTGCCATTAGTTCAAGTTTCGTCTAAATCGGTCAATTGGTTCTGATTCTACATGGACTCATCACAGAAGGTGCAAAAAGCCTTTTTCGAGAGATAAGTGAGTACAGCATTTTTGTGCTTTTCTTCCCCTTTTCACGTAAATGCGCAATAACTTGTTTATTTCGAGTCTAATTCTATAACTTGTGTTGACATTTTTTGCTTGTCTCGCCTAATCAAATCCATTTCCGTGATCAATTCAATTTTCATTCCGCTTTTAGTTTCTTCGAGGGTGTTTTTTTCTTCCCCAATGCCTGTACTTTTCTTCCCCAGCCGTCTGTACTTTTCTTCCCCATTTCAATTTTACACTTATTAAAAATTGTGTTGAAGCCTTAGAGCATCGAACGGCACTGTTTTTCAAAGATGATGGTCTAAGCTATAAGGCGGTACCTTACATTGGACTGTCGGCTGATTATGCAGGAAGCTGTACTTCAAAGTACAAACATTAAAAAAAAAAGATTTTCATAGTTATTTTTAATGTTTTTTTCAAACATGCAGTTTGATTCAAAATATTAATTAAAGAACTGGGCTAAATTTATTTTTTGTCAGCGGGATGACCAATCTTTCGAAAACCACTAACGTGATGGTTCAGTGCAGTTTCAGTTCGGAGATATAACGGGTGTTTTTTTCTTACCCGAGCCTCGAGTGTACTTTTCTTACCCAACCTACCCCTACTTTTGATTCTTAAAAAGGTGATACTGAAATGTGCGACCGAATCATACTAAAGTGCATGACCGAAAAAGGGTCATACTTTTTTTGTATCACTGATAGACTTTTATGTAACTACGAATACGAAACTAAACGAAGGGGTGACCATTTTTCAGTCATACATTTGTGTATGGCCTTTTTTTTTCGGTCACACTTTCTAAAAAATGGCCCGACGTCTCACGCTTTTAATTTCAGTGTACGTAATTCAACTGTAAACTCGCCATTGGCTTTGTAGCGTTTTGCAGTGTCGTAAAAAGGGTGTATTTGGGGAAGTGTCCTGACAATGATGCATCTATTTTGCAGCGAGTGTGTCGCTGCCTGTGAGGCCCTGGCGGCGCTGCGTCGCCTTCGCCTCGTCCTGGACGGCCTGGACATCCTGGAGGACGACCCCGACGGCCGCTTCGTCCTGCGTAGGTGCAAGAAGGCATTTGCTGGCTTCTCCCGGCGCCGGCCGGCTGTGGACGCCTCCTGGAGGGTCCTCAGCGAGTGGGACGACCCGTGGCAGTACTAGGGTTTGTGGCAGCACACCTTTTGACAAGCAGCGCCCCCGTGACAGCACCGGAAGAGGACCTTTCCTTTCTGCATGAATGTAGCTGAAGCGCACCTTTTAATTTTAATGTTTCAGACTGATCATGTTAAGGATTTATTTTGTCTCATTATCAGTCAGAACTGACTTAACAGAAGGTACTGCCTCTAGTTTAACTCTTAATAAACACTGATAGTTTCATTTCTACACTCGCCTTTTCGTTGCCTCTAGCTCTCCTCCGAACACTGATCAGCAGACATGAGATGTAAAGCGGAGAAGTGAGATTAGTTTAATCGATCCGCTCACTTTTCAGGAAATGCAAAACACATGTGAGCGATTCTCACGTTTCGGGGTAGTTGTGTTTAGGGATGCACTTTAAAATCTTGATCATGGGAATGGGCAATCTTTTCAAGTATGTCGCTCACTGCTCTGGGAATTATACCCATTTCACCTTCACCATTGTAACACGTTCCCATTGGGTGAGTCGTACTGGGCCCCGTTTGACCATAAGCTAGGATAGTCTAGTCACACTGTAGCCTGAAAAACATTGAAACGCGTTAATGATTAAATATCAGATCAACAGCCAAGGGTAAAGCAAGTGAGAAACCTCAATGAAACATACCCTTGAATAACTTGGGCACTGAATTCTTTACAGCATTGTGATAAACCTGAGCCTGGCTGGACTCAGGGCTGCTCTACAAATGACAGAGCGTACATTGTACTCTCTACCTGGAGCATGCCTGCAAGCACGCTGTAGCTAGCGCATGTCTGCCACGCATACACTTCTTAATGCATACATGCCAAGCACACGCTTATTGAAGCAATATGCGTCTAATGCATAAGGGATAGGGAGTTGCCTGCATCAGGAAGCGTGTACATGGCATGAATGCGACGAGTTTTGGCATTTTAAAACGCCCTACAATGACATGTTTGTGCTTAAAATGTTCATTGAGGTGTCTAGTATTCCATTTTTCATACGGCGCGACAATGACTGCTCATAGAAATGGGAATTAAGAAATCAAGCAGAACATGGCAATTATGGGTTTTCTAAAGATTGGAAAAATTTGCCGCAGAGGTCATCTAATTAGAACACTACAGAACACCTCATTAACAGAAAACTTAAGTATTATAATGTTTTGGAGAGCTAAAAGAACGAGGATTTCGATCCACCAACTCATTTTGGCATCAATGCATTCGTTAACTTGCAATTGTAGAATTTTCCGGTGGGGTAAGAATGGGACACTCCTGGGGTAAAAATGGGACACTTGGTTAATGGTAAATTGTGGCCTTTGGGGAGAAAATTTTCAAAGTTGTTCGAATTGACATCTCTGAACGGAAATAGATAGGCCTCGACAATACAAACAAAAAATGTCGACACATGCTATGGGTTTGGACGGATATCTAAAAAGTTACTGGGCTTTGAAATTAACAAATAGTCGCAAAAGGTCAAATGGCACCCAAGTTCTTTTGAAGCGCAATGCCTTTTCATTTTTCATCCGAACCTGTGGCATGTGATGACATTCATTGTTCCTCGTGTTGAGACGAATCGAATTTTATAAAGTGGTCTCTATTTGGAAAAGTTTGAGGCCTGTTTTACCACTGCTAAGCCCTTGTCCCATTTTTACCCCAGCGTGTCCCATTCTTACCCCCAAACTTACAGGTCCGAATTTTCATACAGAACTGCAAAATTAAATGACTTTTTGATCTTATTTTAACGCCAAATGGTGTGGAACAGAGTACCCTATCCTTTAAAAGCATTAGAAACACTCCAACTCGCCATTGCAGAGTTGTGGAAACCTTATTATTCAAACTGTCCCAGTATTACCCCAACTCACCCTATTCTAAAACAGGGTTGCCACAAGTCTGGAAAACCTTGAAAACCTGGAAAAGTCAGTTAATTTGAAAATGGTCAGGGAAGTCAGGGAAAAGTCAGGAATGAAATGAAGTCAGGAAAAAGGAAATAAGTGGCACAAACGACCCTTGACACCTATTCGTTTGATAACTCATTACACCCAACTGCGAAAAAGTATCCGAAAAGTCAGGAAATACATTAAATATTGGTCTGGAAGTCAGGGAAAATGAAAATTTCATATTTGTGGCAACCCTGTAAATTAGCAATTTTTCGAAAAAGAAAAAAAAAAACCTTAAATGGACAAAGCGACTCCAAATTTTTATCTAACCGTCTCAAAACTATTTCCGTCGTGTTCCCCAGCCCTTTTTACGTACAGAACCATTATCGGAAAACATCTAAAAACTTCCAGTCAGTACGGAGAAAAAATAAGAAAATGCCATTAATCTGACTAAAGTGAAAACTTCGCTATTTTATCACAGCCGAACGGAGCGAGATATCGCAAAACCCTTTGACATGGGATCTTTTCACAATGGCAGCTACCCCTAACTAAAGTTCCTTCCAAATCGAGATGTATTGCCAACACTCTCATTCTAGGAACGTGACATCACGTTGAAACGAACGTGACAAACTGTCACGTTCGTTTGAGCATTGTGTCACATTCGTTTGGGTGTGAATTGGCCGAAAATCAGCTCGTTCCCATTCAAACGAACGTGACACAATGCTCAAACGAACGTGACACTTTGTCACGTTCGTTTCAACGTGATGTCACGTTCCTGGAATGAGAGTGAAGAGTTCGTTGTTTGGCATAGAATCGTCCAGAGGTGAGCCTCTTATCATGTGTCAGATTGCTGTTTTGAATCTGTCAAAAGATAATGGAGAGAATCGAAGACAGTATACAATTCACGTCATGCCGTGCAGGAAATTGCACAGACTTTGCACGGTGCGCGCACGAGACCCGGCTCGCACATGGTTCCCATTTCGGGTACACGGGTTTACACATGGGTTCCTCCGCGGGGAAATTTCAAATAGGATGTAGAAATGAAGTGCGCCAAGGAAAGGCTGAGAAGGAATTACAGACATACTTGAATTGCCTGACACAAAATGAAGTAACGTTATCTGACGTTCCTACGAACACGGCTTATCTGGCTTAGAGGATCAGGCTGACGTGGAAATCAGAGCTCATTGAGCAGAGATTCGCTGTCATCTAACTGCAATACCCACTGTCTACACTTTGCTACAAAATGCAGTATTCTCCCGCAATAGGTCGACGGCTCGGGACCGGATCTCGGACTATAACGAACACGAAAACCGAATAGAACATGGTGTGAAGGCCGGGCTCCGGCAGTGCTCCGAGCTCGGGGAGGCCATAAAACCAATAGCCGGCCCTTGGGTCCTACACTGGAGTGACCCGAAACGCTGTGCCGACCGGCGCCTTACGGGTCCACGCTACCTGGCCAGGTCGGCACTGCGGTTCGGGGCCCCGTCAGCGCCCGGGTTCGCGCGTGTTCGACCTGGCGGCACGGAGGACCCCTGTCAATCATCCCCGAGGGTCGAGCTAACCGGGCCATAAACCCCCGTGCGTAAGCGGGGGCCGTCACATGAAAACGACTTAGTGCGAATCGACCTAATGCGGGAGAAAACTGTAACTGTTGCAATCTTTTTCATTATGCACACTGATTGCAATTAAAAAATTTAGGCGAAAGTTTGCAATCTAAGTTCTACAATTGTGAAATAACGCCTAAGGGAGGGAGAGGCACCGGCACGGGAAAAACGCTTCCTGCACTCTGAATCCAAAGATGAAACTCTTTTGCGGTACACTCTAAATGTCTTACGAAGAAATTTCCCATAATACGAAGGAAATGGCGCAAGCATAATACGAAGGTTTTTCTTTGTATCTTACAATGAAAAAGCTAAAAAGATTCGTATTACGGAGGAATATTGCTTCGTATTACAGTCAAACTCCTCGTTTTGTCCCTCTACCCGGGAGTTGCTGCGGACAAAACGAAGGACCGAGCCCGGCCGGCCGATGCGGATTAGCGCCGTTTAATCCCTACCTGGCCGGCCAGCGACGGCAAGACATCGGCCGGCGGGGCGCGACCCGCGCCACGGTGGTGGGGATGACTCTGGGACAAAACGAAGGACCCAGAAGAGGGACAAAACGAGGAGTTTGACTGTATGTTTGCGCCGAATTCACTGTAACGATCGACATGATTGATTGGATGCACGGAGATGCATTCGACCGGCAGTTCTTCACATCGCTTTCTTGCATTGTACAGTGCCATTTCAGCTCCAATACTGTCCATGGTTCACAATGTTGCAAATTCTTTTATAAATCCTACATCAGGTACGGCATCTACAATTTTAATGCAAATTATTGCAACAAATTCAACGAAAGTACCTGAAAAGGGCGTTTTTATCGCAAAGCGTGAGGAATATTTTTTACAATATTTTGTTGAACTCGGTATACGTGTTGCATCCAGGGGGCCCGTATAGTTGGCGGAGCGAAATCAGTTCTATCGCAAGAAGAATGTGAAGTACCTCGAAATGAAGCACAGTAGCCTTGTCTCCTGCGAGTGCCTACACTGCGCAAAGGTCGGCCCTGCTGTGCTGAGCTCTGGTGATGCCCCGATAGCACCCGTATAAGTAGCGGTCCTCAGGGGATGCTCGGCACCAGTCTCGCATTGAGACTGCTCAGAGGAAGACTCCTGTCACGTAAGTCATCATTGAAAATCGATGAAGCAATTTGCAACAACAGGCATAATGAAAACACTAAGGGTTATGGAAGTGGGGAATTCCGGACCTTTTTAATTTTGGTATTTAGCTTAAATATGCTTTGGGTAATGTAAGCAGGAGAGACCGTATGGACCTTACCTTCAAAATGATGACATAAATCAAACTCTTTCGGTTAGGGAGAATGCGCTTACAAGCCAAAGTTTCCCTAATAGCCGCCAGGGGAATCGGCGCAGGGGGCAATTCCGGCACGTTTATTTGATACTTACTATTTACTAGTTTAGAAGGATCTTTTAGAAGGGACAATGGCTTTTTCGAATGTTTGCGCCGAATTCACTGTAACGATCGACATGATTGATTGGATGCACGGAGATCACGAATCGCAGTTCTTCATCGCTTTCTTGCATTGTACAGTGCCATTTCAGCTCCAATATTCCATCGTTCACAATGTTGCAATTCTTTTATAACTCCTACTCAGGTACGGCATCTACAATTTTAATGCAAATTATTGCAAAAATTCAACGAAAGTACCTGAAAAGCGTTTTTAACAAAGCGTGAGGAATTTTTACAATGTTTTGTTGAACTCGGTATACGTGTTGCATCCAGGGGGCCCGATATTGGAGAG